AGAAGTGTTGATATTCACCAAACTGAAGAAGTCTTTTCCAGAAAAGTGAACAAAGCCACAGTCGTCTCCTAAGTTCTGTTTTATTCTTGTGTAGAGTTGATTTTATGCTTTAAAATCACCAAAGTTTGTATCAAGAACGAAACTCACAATTGAATGATATAGCACATTTGTAATCCAGTTTCAGACACTGAATCAACTTTTATAAACCATAATCAAAGCTATTTTATTGCAACTAAATTTGGCTATTGTGATTCAATGGATGAGTGGATAATGCTGTGGCATTTGAAGTGATCAGTTTCGAGTTCCAGTCTCAGGAGGAACAATATCACTCACTGGAAAGCAGGTACATCCAGCTGACAAGTCCTAAATAGCACGAAACATGCATCCTGCTAGCTACTATCAATCAAGTCGATTTGTTCTGACCAACCAATTATTATGGAAAAACCTATTAAGATCAGTAATGTTTAATGTGGTTTATAAGAAGTAGTGCAGTAAGTCGTAGGGATTTTCACTTCAAAGTCAAGATACAGATGTTCCACAGAATGACTAATTATCCCAACTCTTCTGTGACTTGTGAAGAACTAACAGCGTGATTTGAAAGGCACGCTTTAGTGAGAGACTGATCACAATCAAATAATATTACAAGATGAAGTAAGAAATAAAACTTACATAGTCTACATAAACAAAGCTCTGTACGTTTAGTTAAACTAAAATATACGACGTTACAACAAGTATGACAGTGTGGAGCTAAAAAGCTAACCGGAACACGTGAAGCCATTAATCAGCAATCATGTGCGTCTTTACGCATGTAGACGATGAGCTACACCTGTTGTTTGAGATTTGAATATCCAGACTTCGGTAGGTGGGATGAAGTTTGAACTCGTAACGTATTGGTTGAAAGTCGAGTGCTGTACCAATGAGCCACAGTTTCTCTACAAATTCACAACTCGAACCCCAGTATACATGCTTCAGTTTATCAATAGCTTTAGTAAGTGAAATCGTCATGCATAAAATCTTCGCTGTTACTTCTTTATTCGATAACTAATCGTAGAATGCCGAGAAAGAATAAAGTGACCAGTTCATCTACATAAGCCAGTCACAGTCACTCGTGACCTGAATAGTTTGTTGACAATATCTCTGACTTTAATAGTGAGTGATGCGGGTGTGAATCATATAGTGAACATGAGATTCCCAAAGATTGTAAGTATCTCCTGCAGGTGAGTGCCCACAAACAATGGACCTCAGAACTTCCTGTCGATTAGCTCTTAAGACCAGAATGCAGCAGACCACAATATCGCATCACTTAACTCGACTGCTATGCGGAAAACCTAGTCGATTACCAATCGGTGAGACGTGGCCGTTAAAAGTAGGTTGTTGATTACAGGTGTCTTTGCAGCATTGCTCATGTTTGGTGCAGTCGCCGTGTGAGCGATGTTCAAGTCAGGTGAAGGGTACTAGGCAAGACAGGAAAGTCGACCGGTAAGGTTGTGAACCAATGGGCTTGGCTTATTAATTCAACGTTGAATATGTCTGAGTGAAACTGACAGCTTTCTGTAGAACTCATCCCTCAAATCGTCTAAACATCAATCAGTTGACGCGCAGAAGGATATCACAAGTATGTATCGAAGACAGTCACCGTCCCTTTTTGTTTTTAGAAGCCTATCCATTAGGACAGTGGCATAGATGGCTATCAACCGGTATCCATTTTTTAAGTGCACTTTTTGCCTTAAGACCCAATACTATATTGACAGCAGCAAGTCTATAGAATGTAGACATCGAATTTGTGAACAATCGCAAAGTGAACACGCCAAATCCACCGCATTGGTTAGATGAGCTAAGGCGCGTAACCACACCTTTTTTTCTATGCACGTCATAGAAAAAAATATACATCTATGGATAATAACTCCAGAGGTTAAAAGATTAACGTCTGAGATTCGGCTACACATAAAGCTCTGCTGAAACCTCCAATGTGAAATTGGTAGTGTTGGAAACTAGAAACAGTGTTTTTCTGGATTGGGTCCCTAGCATTGGTAACAGAGTAAAATGATGAGGAAACTGGATACTTGTTTCCTAATTGAGATAGGCGTAAGAAGGATACTCTATAGTTAGACGGGTTTTAAGAACAGTCTGAAACGTTTGAGCCATCGATACCTTCCAGCTGCACACAAACTGAGTGAGGTACCTGAAAGACAGTGGATTAATACGCACATCCATAAGACAAAAATACATTTATCTAACACCAATCACACTCGTCATTTTGAGAAGAACTCGGTTTTACAGAGTTGTGAGCATACTTAAGGAGCATTATAGCCAGCAACAAAAACCTATACAAAAGAGTAAAGTGCACAGTTCTAGGGTCAACGGTTTCTATTACCCCATCTTCAGAATTGAAAGACAGAATATCTGTAGTGCTTGCTGACGTCAAACTCTAGTTCAGTCAAGCGAACGACTTCACTTTTGAACCTTCTCTCAACGGTTTAAACTGCTTTCACTACGACAGTAATTGTTTTTAGTTTTGTGACTTAAAGATGACATAAAGGTATCTAGTAAAGAAATTTTTCTCATTGTCACGACTCCATTTACTGAAGATGTGCAATCGTATTTATTGTCATTCAACACAATTAAGAGTCTCTTATTGAATAACGGATTGCGATTACATTAAAATAATCTCAAAGAGGTAAACAAAAAATTAAGTGAAGATAAAGAAGACCGTGAAATGGTCCATTACGTGATAATATAAATAAAATACATCTTTTAACATGATGAGAGTCGTTACTAGATGCGTAGTCCGCCAGTTAAGCATCTATTTCATAGGTTAAACGAAGGTGAAGAAAGAAACAAGGATTATAACGAGAATATTGGTAGTTAAATAACTACTAATCGATGGATTTACCGAGCGGAAAAGGACTTAACAGTGCAGCCAAACCAAAGACTGAACATGTCTTTCTCTGAACAAGGAGATCAAGCTTGAATTGATGAATTGATAATGCTACTAGCACAAGCTATTAAACCGTATGGCTTTCGAACCTTTTGGTTTGAGTGTGGGTAATACGAAAAGATGATTCTAATACAACTATATTACTGGAGGTAATCAACTATTCAAGCATCCAGATATTAACTCATTTGCACTCACCTACTGACAACCAAACAGGTTAATGATCTGAAATAAGATTAGAAAGAGAACGCTTTGTACAGGACAATACAAATAGTTCCATGGGGACGAGTAAACTTGTAGATTCACTTTAAGGTGACGCAAAGAAGCATTTTATCCTAAAGAAATGAACAGTAGGTTTTTCAGATTTTTCGCCGCCTAGCTGCCATCGCAGCCAGCATTAGTAAATCGGATCTCCTTCAGAACTATAAAAAGTTGTTCAAAATACTATTTCAGTTTAAAGTTCTTCCTGACAGCTTTACGTGAATAGTTATTTCGAATCGGAGTTTGCTGGCGTGTTTAATCGTGTCTTCTGTGCAAATTCGTTTGCTTCTCAAACTTAATGGATTAATTTTCTCTTTCTATTCAGTGGTACTCAGCTCTGGAAATGTGTTTACTGCTTGATACATGTCAACTTTGCCATGAGGCAGTTTACCAGTAAGGGGCCAAGAGGCGATACCATTGCTACTCGTCTGCGGAATTAATTGTTGAATCAAAACTGAAAGTATAATGCAGAAGTGATTTTGAATAATGCTTCCAAACACCGATAGCAAAGTTGTCAGCTTCAACGCAGTAACATAGGATGCAAATATTTACTGTGTGCGATACGTCAGTAAGGATGGAGGTAATGTCTAGATAAATCATCCGCTTGCCAAACAAAACCATAGTTTGCTAGATTCAAGAAATAGAAGCGTCTATAAGGCTGGTTTAAGGACTTCAGAAAGTCATTAAAAATAGCATGGTACCATGAATCATTCATGCCCAAAATTGGATGCAATGGATTAAGTGTGACAAAAGTCTCTAACCCCAGCTTATAACTGGACAACATCTAAGATCATCAAAAACACTAACTTAGCATTCCCTTAACCTATGAGAATACCTAACTTATTGATGAAGCTAATAATAATGATACCACCATGTTTAGTGATGAAACATCTATGACAAAGTACTCTCCAACTTCCTTTACAGTACCTGTTTGCTATCGGACTCATGTCAGTTCATTACCCTCTCTGGTCGGCATTCTCAAACAATCCGACTACAAGGCTTAACATTGAGCAAAACTGTCATGCTTGATCTCTACCTTTAGAGAACACGAAAGCATTGCTAGTCTTACTATTGCCAAAAACATCTACCTGAAGGGGTAGGATCTCAGGTGACAATTAATCCAGTCAACACAGCTTTCTGGATTATCACAAGAAGTAAGCCTGATGACCCCAATAAGGTAGCGGCTGTCGACTGAGTAACAATTGAGCGGTGTTATCATATCTCGGAGACCTGATTTTTGCGTTTTACCAGTCTCAGTCCTATTAAGGAGTACAGAGTAGGGTAAAACACCTTTTTATTTTCAAATGGATTTTAATAGTTCTGCAGATACCTGCAAGCTGGTGATAAAAAAATTTCAAACAAATTAATCTTCCACAAACCACTTGGTTGGAGAAATATAGGCCGTAGAAAAAGATCAACGGTAAAAAGAGCTCATAACTGAATTGCCGCAAACACTTAGTTATTACTGTTGTTGTTTATCCTAGACTACAGCTAAACATACCAGATAGTATCAGTAGACTTGATGGGAGAAGTACAGTTTGCAGTCTAGTATGCAAACCGATACGACGTTGAAAAAAATAAATAAAAATAAACCTCCAAATACACAAAAAAAAACAAGGTCATTCGATATGAACTTGTCGATGCCATTGTAAGCTGAATATAATTAGCGAACAGATAGTTAAAAATCTACATATAGTATATTTCTGAAAGTAGTGCCTACAACTAAAATTTTTCACAGCAGTATTTTTAAGAAGTAAGCAATTTTAAGCACATGAAATACGAGAAATTTTAAGATTATACTTACTGAAGCAGCCAGATGCATTCGATCGGTTATCCGTTGAAATAGGTTGGCTGAAAATTGTTTACCCCAATTTGTAATTAGACCATGGAAGGCGAAATCTTGCACAGCATAACCGATCGCAAAATTTGCCTTTTGTAGAATATGATTTGTACAATCCAATTTAACATCAGCCCCAATCAAATATCCCTGGTAACTTGATTACAATTAAAAAAGGAATGGCGGTATACAACTAAAGCTGAAAAACTTAAGACAAAATAAGCTGAATTTAGCTTCAATGAAGTTTTCCCAATGGGGAACAGTGGTGAGAAATAGAGGAATAATGCTAACATTTAAAGTTACGCCAAATCATTTGGAAAGTCAAAACCTTGCCAATTTAGTCTTAAAATGACTATTAACCATGAATTCAACACAGTAAAACTGAACCGATAACATTTTGAAGTTTCCAATTGAATGAACTATAACCAATTAAGACCAAAAAGGCATATGAACTATCTGAACAGCTAACAAACCAGTGCAACTTAATGAGCCGGTGTAAGTTTCCGTACTAAGCTATGAGAAATATAACGTGTGGCGGTTTATAATATCACTTGACTGCTGAGTTTGAAGCAATCACAATGAGACCAGAATCTAATAATCATTGCATGGAAGTCAAGTACCTAAGCTAATGAACCAGATCACAGAAAAAACCCACAAAAAGAGCATGGGCCGGGTGGAAGGAACGCTCAGTTTAAAGAATGGATACAATCAAGTGTGAAGTGACCGCATAGTCTTGCCACCACTAGGAACATAAAAATGAGTATTTTGAACAGCAATAAGATATGTAAAAACAACTGGGTACTAAAAGGAACCTAGACTTCCAAATCTTCAGGGTACTAGATAAGAATAAGTTAAGTTTGTACACGATAAAATGAAAGAAGCTGATGTCTTGTTGCTTTGAAGAACATTTCACGATATCCACCATCGCATAAACAGAAGGCTGCTAAATTAAGACTCAACAGAACGCTTGCTTTTTTACTTAAGTGTATGCTTCCCAAATCATTTATGGCCAGGTTCGAGTCACTCAAACCTAACAGAAATGAAGAGAATGCTTGGTGACTTTTGGTAGAAAAACCTAAAAGCCTAGAAGATTTTCATGTTCAACCACAGCAATAATATAAAAGCAAGCGCTTGAGACTATAGCAGGGGGATATACATTAAAGTTGGATACGAGTGACAGAAATCTGATGAACGATACATGGATTTCATTTTTGAAATAGTATGAAGTCATAACTCACTGGCTTCCCGACCGATAGCTGCTACCTTGACGTGGTGGTCGGGCTTGCATATCACAATGACCCAACGAGCTATGCTGGTGGAACGCTTGTTCCCTCGAGGTCCTACCATACCAGAAAGGTCTGTTGGGTAGTGGTTAGACGAAAAGCAGTCACCGTCATAGTGTAAATTGCTACACTATGATGGGGGTCTGAGGGCGAAGTCGTACTGCTGCTAGCTGGATGGGGTGTGACAGCAGTAAGGTGTTTCCCTTGGATGACCAGCAGTGCCAAGCTGATGCTGCCTTCTCAGTGGAAGGGGGGGTTAGAAAAGGTCGGCCCCAAAAATAACACACTCCACCACGCCCCACGGTCTGCCGGGCCGGCGGTGTTGGTTCACTTGTCGTTTCCTTTCGCTCATCCGGCCCCAAAAATACAAAAATTCAAAATAATCATACTCAAAAGGCTGGGTGTGACAGGCCTCAAGCAGATGTCCGATGGGCTCTGCGGTCACACAAATCTCTTTCAGGTACCTTAAGAAGAAATAGCCTTCCACGGTGTGGGCAGCCGGGAAGTGTCAACCGCTCTCACAACTCTGTCAGCATCCAAGTTTCTTCTGACTGCTATCCTCCTCCTCCATCATTACCTTCTAATCTTCCTTCACGTCTCTTAATTAATGATGCTGCATCATCTTCGATTTCTCCTACCTCTGCAGCCTTCGACAACGATCTGAGTCCACAGAACAGCGTCCCCGGTCTCCTTAAACCACGCTCCAAATTACATATTGGAGCCTTCAATGTCCGCACCCTCCGTCAAATTGGCCAACAGGCTTCGTTGGCAAAGACTCTAGCAACTCGAGGCATGGATGTGTGCTGTGTTTGTGAGACACGCATACAGGACCCAAGTGTGGTTATTCACCTGACCTCTCCTGACCAATCTGGTGAATCTGCAAAATTCACCCTTCGAGTTTCTGGAGATTCGATAGCTAGCTCTCGTGGTCTTGCAGGTGTAGGTATAGCATTAAGCACCAGGGCAGAAAACTCACTACTAGACTGGATCCCAGTTGATAGTCGCCTCTGCGCTATGAGGCTGAACGGCACAGTGAGAACTAAAAGGAATAGTGAGACTCGCCGTTGTCTCTTTGTAATCTCTGCTTACGCACCCACTGACTGTAGTTCGGATGAAGTGAAGGACGAGTTCTACCATAAACTGTCTAACCTCCTCTCGAAAGCCAAACGTTCGGACGTAGTGGTTGTTGCAGGTGACCTCAACGCACAGGTGGGTAGACTGAGTGAGGCAGAAAGGCACTTAGGTGGCACTTTCGGAATCCCAGCTGAACGTACAGATAACGGTGATCGCCTATTACAACTATGCTCAGATAACCGCCTATTTTTAGCCAGCACAAATTTCAGACATAAAGAAAGGCACTGTCTGACCTGGCGTCCACCGAGCTCGACTCAGCGATGGACACAGATAGACCACATTGCTATTAGTCATCGCTGGAGAGGATCGGTGGAAGACTGCCGCTCCTTCTGGAGTACGTGTTTGGACAGCGATCATGCGTTGGTCCGAGCACGTATATGCCTGCGTCTCAATGGACGTAGAAAAAATTTGGCAACAAAACCACTACGAGTTCTGCTGGACAACGAAAACACCAAAGCCGTGTTCAGTGAGAAGTTGGCTAGGCAGTTATCGGAACAAAAGACTGTCACTCATCCAGAAGAAGCTTGGTGCCATCTTCAGTCTACTGTAAAAGCAGCACTGGAGACTGTAGCCGACTCCAAGATAATGGCTAAAAAGAGCCAGTGGATATCAGCAGCTTCTTCCAAACTAATGGATGCACGTGAATGCATCCCTGCAGGCTCTGAGTACAATGAAGAGCGAGCGCAACTTAAAAATAAACTGACGAAAAGTCTGCGCAACGATCGTGAACAGTGGTGGGCAGCAAAGGCTAAAGAGATGGAAAAGGCAGCGGCGATCGGTAACAGTAGACAGTTATTTAGACTTATTAAGGAGACTGGGGGGAAATGGTCAACAACAGTTAGTGAGGTTATAGCGGAGAAGGACGGATCGGCGATTCACTCGCAGGGAAGGCGACTGGGACGATGGGCAGAACACTTTGAGGAACAGTTTAACTGGCCTCCAGCCACCATTGCGCTGCCCGCTATCCAGTCGGACCCTGAATGGGACATAGAGACAGGTCCCCCAACACTAGAAGAAGTTGAGAAAGCGGTAGGTAGCCTGAAACGGGGAAGGGCAGCAGGACCAGACGGACTACCTGCTGAGGTATACAAGAATGGTGGTAGAGTTCTCTTAGTCAGGCTAACGGAAGTGTTAGCCAGTATATGGGAATCAAATACGATCCCCTCCGACTGGTCTAAGTCACTGATCATCCCAGTCTTCAAGAAAGGCGAGAAGTCCTCTTGTGATAACCACAGAGGAATCAGCCTGACAAACATAGTGTCTAAGATCCTAAGTTCTATAATTCTCCGACGCCTGAGTGGAGCTCGGGAACAGCAAGCCCGAGAAAACCAGGCAGGCTTTAGACCTGGCCGTGGATGTATCGACCAAATATTCACACTGCGCCAGGTCCTGGAACATAGGCATGCTTACAGACGCCCGACAATAGCTGTATTTCTCGACCTGAAGGCGGCATTTGACTCCGTTGATCGAGAAGTCTTATGGCAGTGTCTGTCACTGAAAGGCGTGCCTAGTAAGTACATCACCTTATTGAAAGCTCTCTACTCGAACACTTGTGGGCATGTTAGAGCCTATGGTGAGTTGTCCAGGGAGCTATACTCATCAAGTGGTGTCCGTCAAGGATGCCCACTATCCCCATTCTTATTTAATTTTATCATAGATATTCTTATGGAGGTTTCCCTCTCGTCACCTAATTACAAAGACGTTGACCGGATCACAGGTGAATTTTCCTTAGATCTAGAATATGCAGATGACATAGTCCTGTTAGGTGAAGACGCTGACAAGATGCAGAGTCTTCTGAACACTTTGAGTGGGAATTTGAGAATGTTTGGGATGCGATTTTCACCACCCAAATGCAAATTTTTGCTCCAGGACTGGTCTTCAGCGGTACCGCGGTTAACAATAGAGAGTGAAGTGGTTGAGTGTGTTGACCACTTCACTTACCTGGGAAGTAGGATCAACTCCGGTGGGTTAGTTGCCGATGAGATTTCTGCACGGATACAAAAGGCTCGATTGGCTTTTGCCAATTTGCGCCACCTATGGCGCCGCCGTGATATTCGTTTGTCTATTAAGGGTCGCGTGTACTGCACAGCAGTCCGCTCTGTTCTACTGTATGGCTGTGAAACATGGCCATTGAAAGTGGAAGACATGAGAAGGTTACAGGTATTTGACCACCGTTGCCTTCGTAGTATAGGACGTATTCCGTGGTGTCACCATGTGAGTAATGCAGAAGTTAGGTGTAGAGTTTTAGGGAGAAGAGGTAAGTCAGTCGACGAGGTTGTGAACCTTCATCGACTGAGATGGTTGGGACACGTACTACGTATGCCTAGTCACCGATTGCCTCGTCACACAATGTTGGCTGAGGTGGGTTCAGGCTGGAAAAAGGCCCGAGGTGGCCAGACTAAAACATGGCACCAATGTATGAAGTCTCTGACTGTTGGTTTAAGCCATGTAGGACGATGCAGACTAGGTGGTTGGGGTCCACGGGACAAGAGGAACCAGTGGTTGGAGACCCTAGGTGATATGGCTCAGAACCGAAGTCAGTGGCGCAGATGTATACACACATTATCCTCATCTTAACAACGCTATACCGAATCTCACTATTTTGTCACTCCTCTTTCCTTTCTTCTCGTACTTTATATTTCTTTTGACTGCATTCACTTATCTTCATCCTTCACCTCACTACCTTTTTACTTGATGTGCTGATATGAGGTGTGGCAACTCGGACCGTTACGCAGTAATGCCTGGTCCTATGTTGATAATGATGATGAGGACTCAACTTTCAGGTACTGGGTCCTGCTTTCCAATCTCACCACCTAATTTGGCCTGGATAACAGGCTATTATATTATAACAATAAGCCATCAAACAGAAATTTTGGTTCACCCAAGTAAGCAAACATTCGTAAAACCAGTAATAATAATCCAAAGTCCGGTTAGTAATTGAAAAGACAAATATACAAATCGAGAAGAGTGCATGTCGTGTCTGCCATTTATACATCAGATCTACTTGCAAAATCATAATTTCAATAGTTCTTAACCGAAATTACAATGAACAGTAAATTTCTGCTGTGAAAAATAACCACTTAGTAACCGTCTTAAGATCACTATACTACGAATCCCTCCCACTACACCGTAAACTGGCAAGGGACGCTGAGCAAATGTCCATCTTACTAAATCAAACAGTTGCAAAATTCGACTAAACCATGTCATAGCATCTGAGAAAGGCTCAGTTTTGTCAAATTAAAAATTCCACTAATAAACTTAACAAATATATCAAATTCCGTTTATATTTGACACCGACAAGTGGGATAATATGATGCCGCACGAATACTTAACACTATCAGAACCCTAGATACATATATACTGCATTATTCCAAGCCACACAAAAATAGTGGCAGTCACGCAAAATGAAAAATCGAAGTGAGAATACAGATAGCTGAATTGACAGGCTTATAAAAGCATGGAACAATAGAGGTGCCTCTTTTATTATCTTTCAGGAATGGTTTGAAAAGTAGCCAACTTCACTTCGATAGCAGTCAATAATGTTTGAGTTCGGTATAGTTAGCTAACTAGACAGCTGAACGCTCGTATAGAATATGATCAAAAGGAATAAGAAAAGAGTACATTGACTAAATATTGTTTGTCCAACAATACGTACAAATATGTCCAAACTCTATTCAGGTAAGTTACACAGGAGGACGAAAGAGTGGATAGTGGGTCCTCTTATTTAGGAATATATATTCACCAGGGGATTGTGTTAAGACGAGCACAAAATAAATCATGGCCATAATGCTTAGCTTATTTGCGATAACTTTTGGTCTGCAGTAAACTAGCGTCGTAAATGTACTAACAACTTAGCTGTCTTCTTCAGCACCATTTCATCACATGATCGTGAATTCTAGAACCTCGAAAGATATAGATAGGCTTTTGAAATTTGCGTTATAAGTTTTGACATGCATTTCTACACAAAGGTATTTTGATGTGTATACGCATCTGTAACTTCCAACCTCTTGGCTACTTTATTCCCAGCACCAAATAATGTAATATGAAAAGGAATACTGCGACATATTACTCAGTAGTATGACAACTCGGAACTCTCGAAACTAATACAAGCAAATAAGTAACTTTGGTAAGATCAGTCTGCTAAAAACCTGCTTGCTTATAGTTTCAATTAGGTTGAAAGGTTTCTTTTTAATTAAAGGCACCTCCATTTAGTTTAGTCAAACCTTTAAAAGCAATCGTGGCAAATCTTAAATTCGGTCGCCAAGGCGACAGTAACCATGGGCACTGAAAATATAATGCATTATATTTTCCCGAAGGTAACGTGTTGCTCAGTGTTTGTAAATAAGTTTACTAACTATGAAAATCACATTGGCACTTACCTCAAAACAAGTGACGGTGACAAGTCAGGTACTGCTGACTTAAAAAACATCTCAACATTTGCGTTTACATTTTCGTTACGGAAAGCATTGACAAGATTTGCGTGGAAACATCTAAAGATGAGAAATAAATAGCTTCTCACTTCTGAAACGGGTCATGTGAAATCTGAAATGTCTGCTTTAGTCCGTCAAGCAACATGTTTTCAAATCCTATCTCCGCATCAACTACATTGTTTGAAGCCCATTTTTTCGTCAAAGTTAAGCCATATTTTGGGAAAATCAACTTTTGTTGGAGATCGAAGAACATCTTTTGAAAAGTTAAATGTGGGCACATATCATACCTTATTTGGTTTCTGACCATCACTTAAGTTGGCTTTAAACTCTATGTCACTTTTCTTTGTAGTACACTGGAAATTATATAGTCCATAGTGGAACTTTTTTGAAAGTACATCCCTCGAGTCTTTACCGAGATCAGAAAAAATAGGTGGAGCCATAGTAAAAACGAAGTAGCGTCCGTGATTTACTTAGGCGCTCCAATATCCAATATCCAATATTGATAGTGCGAGCGTAGAAAACTAGTAGTTTTTGATCTCTCGCGTCTAGTTCTTAGGGCTTGGTTCGAGTTGTTCGGTTAACTCCTGAAGTGGACGAGGAAATCCCCTCTGCTTTCTTGCTTTTAGCTTCGGTGAGGTGGATGTTTTGTGGGTTAGTAGGTTGTAATCTGTAGAGTGATTAGGGAGCTACGGGTTGCTGGGAAGTTTAGAGAACTGCCATGACTCCTGTCTGTGTAGGTACCTTCAGACACTTGTCACTTGATCCTCTGCTCTTGATCAACGAGTTTAACCGTAAGCCTCAGATGCGTATGTATAACCAGGAAAGATGTTTCCTGGGGAATGACCTCCGAGGAGAACCGAGAGCTAAGGCAGTTTGGCAGCTGAAACGCCCAAGAACCACTGACAGGAGGTAGACCGGTTGGTTCAAAGGAATAATAATGCCAATTTTCAACTGTTGAGGAGTGAGCTGACGAATGCGCAGGGGTGAGGTGCGTGGACGGACAGAAGTGCTGCAAACGTTCTATGTTTTTAGATTGAGTATTGAAAGTGGGAGTTTTTCATTGTGGAAAAATCCAAAAGCTGAGAGACGAGCGAAACACGTCACTACTCCAATATCCAATATCCAATATTGATAGTGCGAGCGTAGAAAACTAGTAGTTTTTGATCTCTCGCGTCTAGTTCTTAGGGCTTGGTTCGAGTTGTTCGGTTCACTCCTGCAGTGGACGAGGAAATCCCCTCTGCTTTCTTGCTTTTAGCTTCGGTGAGGTGGATGTTTTGTGGGTTAGTAGGTTGTAATCTGTAGAGTGATTAGGGAGCTACGGGTTGCTGGGAAGTTTAGAGAACTGCCATGACTCCTGTCTGTGTAGGTACCTTCAGACACTTTTGTTGGAGATCGAAGAACATCTTTTGAAAAGTTAAATGTGGGCACATATCATACCTTATTTGGTTTCTGACCATCACTTAAGTTGGCTTTAAACTCTATGTCACTTTTCTTTGTAGTACACTGGAAATTATATAGTCCATAGTGGAACTTTTTTGAAAGTACATCCCTCGAGTCTTTACCGAGATCAGAAAAAATAGGTGGAGCCATAGTAAAAACGAAGTAGCGTCCGTGATTTACTTAGGCGCTCCAAAAGTACAGTTTCAGAAACAAGCCCACTGGGCGTGGTAGGATGTTTTGCTGGGTAAAGTGAACTGAACAATTTCTTCGCTCTGGCTTTTACGTCTTGTCGGTCGATTTCACATCATTGCCTGTTTCCAATCCATTAGATGCCACAGTTCCAATATCCAATATTGATAGTGCGAGCGTAGAAAGCTGGTAGTTTTTGATCTCTCGCATCTAGTTCTTAGGGCTTGGTTCGAGTTGTTCGGTTCACTCCTGAAGTGGACGAGGAAATCCCCTCTGCTTTCTTGCTTTTAGCTTATGTGAGGTGGATGTTTAATGGGTTAATAAGTTGTAATTTGTAGAGAGATTGGGGAGCTACAGGTTACTGGGAAGTTTAGGGAACTGCCGTGACTTCTGTCTGTGTAGGCACCTGAAAGAGGATAGTAAGGTAGCGGTAAAAGAATGAAGAGAGTGAAAAAAGAGAAGAAAGAAGAAAAATAATAATATAGGGAAGAGAAAAGGGAAGGAGAAGAAAAGGAGGGGTGGAAAGAGAAATGGGAACGAAAGAAAAGTATTTGGGAATTGCGCGAATGGTCGCGTGGGTTTGGTTCCTACAGAAGAATTAGTGGCTAATGTGGGTGTATTAAGTAGGGAGATAGTGAGTGGTAGTTAGGAGGGAGTTGGGGGCTAGTGCGGTTGGTGACTACCTGAGTACGTCCTTGGTAGTCCATGCGAGGTGACATAACTGTCTAATCGTCTCTTGAATGAGTCGACTGAGGGAGCTATAACGATGTGTCGCGGTAAGGCATTCCATAAAGCACATACTCTTAGGGAGAAAAATTTGGACCTGAGTATGGTGTTGGCTCTCTGGTGTGCTATCTTAATGGGGTTTCCTCGTGAAGATCGTTGAGTTGCAGGCAAAATTGATTTGTTTGCATGGTCTGCCTGATGGGCGATCTTGTATGCCATAATGAGGTCACCCCTTTTCCTGCGATAACCCAAGGTAAATAGGTTTAGGTGTTTAAGTCTTTCAGGATACGTCTTTCCCCTTAGCCCCACAACTGATTTTGTTGCAGTTCTTTGTATTCTTTCAAGGAGATTAGAGTCTCTCTTGAGTGTTGGAGGAGCCACCGTATTGAAGACCTCTAGATGCGGCCGCACGTAGGATTTGAAAATGGTGAGGAAGAGTTCGGGAGTGAGGGCGCCAAGCTGTCTACGCAGAAAGTGTAGAATGGCGTTCGCTCTGGTTGTCATACCTTTGTAGTTGGAGCTGGTGTCCAAGGTGTCGGAGAAGTTGAGCCCCAAATCTTTCTCCATGGACACTCTGGTGATAGCACGGTTGCTCAACATGTACTGAAAGTCGGTCGTACTTGCTTCATTTTTACTGATGTGCATTACTTTGCACTTTTCCAGGTTGAAGCTCAGGCCATTTTCCGACGACCAGAGCTCGAGTTGCTGCAAGTCCTTTTGTAGTGCTGTACAATCAGCTTCTTCGTTTACCACCCTCCAAATTTTTATGTCGTCAGCGAAGAGGAGGATATTTTGTCTGGCAGATCGTTGACAAACAGGAGGAACAGAAGCGGTCCTAGGATTGCTCCTTGGGATACTCCTGACGTCGAGGGTCTCCACTCCGACCTTATTCTGTTCACTTTAGTGCAGAACTGCCTCCCTTCCAGGTACTCCTTGAACCAAGAGAGTAGGGGTCCACTTATACCAGCTGACATGATCTTGTGAAGCAGTACTGTGGGTGGGACACTGTCAAATGCTTTGGCTAGGTCGAGAAATACAACATGTACAGGTTTTCTATTATCCCAGCTTTGTGTCCAGTCGTCCCAGGCGGTTAGTAAGTTGGTGGCACATGAGCGACCACTACGAAAGCCGTGCTGAGCAGTATGGACAGTGTTTTCCCTATTGAGGAATTCCCAGATGGTGTCAGCTACCAGGCTTTCCAACACTTTCGACACAATAGGGAGTAGGGCAATTGGCCTGTAGCTGCCAGGGCTTTTTCTGTCTCCTCCCTTGAAGATGGGTGACAAGATGGCACTCTTCCATTCTTTAGGGAGTTTGCACGAGTCTATTGAGTGCTCAAAGAGGTTGCGAAGTGGTTTGGTAAGCACCTCGGCGCAGTTTTTCAGAACCACTGGTTTCAGGTTATCGCAGCCAGGGGACTTGCCCGGACGTAGCCTAGATAGCTTCTCGAACACCTTTTTCTCTGTAATAGAGACGTGACAGAGGTATTCGTTATTTGCGACCTGGTCGGTGTCGTGTCGGTGTGGATCTTGTGTCAGTGCTGAGTTGGGCTTGGAAGTGTGAGCTCAAAAGCTCGGCAATCTCTAGACTGCTTAGCACACTCCCGTCATGGCCTGTGACAAGATTCACTCCCTTACTGGTCGACTTTCTTCTTGACATGAAGCGGTACAGGTTTTTGGGGTTGCTTTGTAACCTCGCTGCCAAGTTTGTTTGGTAGGAAAATCTGTCGTTACGCACTCTAATGTTACAGAGATTGCGAATCCTTTTGTAGTTCAAGAAGTCAGACTCCCTGCGTGATGTACGCCACTTGAACCAAGCCTGCTTCTTGCTCTGGATAAGCCTCTCTGTCCCACGCTTTAACCATGAGGTTCTCATTGATTGTCTGTGTGTTACTTCTGGTACACTGTGACTGATGGCCCCAGTGATTATTTTCTTCACCTCCAACCAGTGTTCATCTATTGTGAGATGAGTCCAGTCCACTGGCCATGATGCATTCATGAGGTAGTCCCTCATGGTCTCATAGTTGGCCTTGCTGTAGCAAGGGAAGGTGTTGGACGTCTCCAGTTGCAGAGCCTCCCTAGTTATCATGGAGAAGGTGATTACAGCGTGGTCACTGAGGCCAAGGGGAGGTTGGATGCAAACATCCTCAATGAGAAGTTCATCGTTCGTCAGAACGTAGTCAAGGCGCGATGCGTTTCCGTTAGGTCCCCAGCGTGTAGCATCACCCACTTTCTCTGAGAGGCCATAAAATACCTGATGATTTATGATTGGCCAGTCTTCGTACCGATGCAACTAGCATTTTGTCACGTGGAAGAACAGTTGACCAGGAACCAGGTGTTCAGGAATCTAGATGTTCTACGGCCACTGAATTTCTTGATCTGGGTAGCATCGGTAGCAGTTGAAGAAAGCAGATAACTGGGTGTGCATCTTCGCAAAACTTTCGATTGGTTTGGCGCAGAGTCAAGGGGTCGCTTATATCAATCACGAGTGCACCAACAAAACCGTTGAAAGTACCTCCAAAAACCCGACCTGACCAACTTATACTTTCAGATTAAAACGAAAGACGAAACCATGGAGACATAGAATATCTAAAACCACGCGGGCACGTCGCATACGTTTTGGTCTTATACTTTTAGTGCATCCGAAAATACTCACCTGCTTTTGTTTGGTTTCATTCAATTTGGTTGTACAACTTCGTTGAAGTCCTGTTGTCGTTTGGTGGTACCATTGTGTTTTGTTTCGGTCCCGGATGGTATTATCCGTAAAAATGAGGGTTTGAATTTAAAATTTGTACGAATACTTTGCTGTAGATAACAAATTTTCAAAGATTTACCTTGCATCTTGAATATATGTTTCCTTTTCCGAAATCGAATGTTCTAAGTCTGATCGGTTTTCGTTTGAATTTAGTAGCTCCTGAAGCTCGTTTCTTCGTAACGAGCCTATAGTGATTTTACCGGTGCCAGAGAATAATATTGGCACCAAGGACTACCACCTCGTGTTATCATGGCTACGGCTATATTTCAAGAAATACTACGAACATCTTAGTCACTGACGCTCGAGGTGCACCATCCCATTTAGATAATGTGGCTATAACTGAGACCAGTTATGACAAACTCTATGGCCATCCACATTTTACGCTTTCAACTCGAGGTGAATCTGGGTCGCAAATGTGCGGAAACAAACGTGATTTCCTCATGAACTCGATTATACAACTCACTTTCGACAAATATGATGCAGGTAATCGGGATAACCCAGTGATAGTTTCAGCAACTCTAAGGCGTTGAAAGCAAACTGGGCAGGTGATGACGTAAGTCAAACTGTTTTCACCAAGATTTTGATGAGGCTGCACGCTACCATTTTCGCCCTTCATTTTCTTATTTCTGATTCTGCTTTCAGTTGATTCCGGTCTTTCTTAGTTGGTCGGCGTCAGACTTTTCTTTGGGGCATCAGATAAGTTATACTGGATAGTGCAGTTTGACCTTAATCCTTCACTGTTCTTATCAGTAGCGTGTCTTCGGTAGCGCACATTAATTCGCAACTCAATTCGTCAACCACTTTTTCCCGCTTGAAGAACTTATCTGTCCTAAGGTCAAGGTAAAAAATTTCTGGAATTTGTTTTCCAAGTACGAAAGGATTTTGCTCAATGAGGTCATCATCACTTCAGTGTTAAGTGCCCGACTAAATTCCTGCTCGATGCATTTTCTGGTGTGAAGATATTGTTACTACTTTGTCCAGTTGAGTGGTCACTGAGTTTTGGTGGGCCAGACCAAAAGTTTGTGTGGCTGAAAAGCTGGTTTAAGGGAGGCAGTCAGTCACACAGTACTTGTTGTGGTAAAATCTGGTGAACGGCAATAAATCGGCGGATATGTAAACAGTACATGGCATAAGAAGGTGGTCTCCTAGATATCACCTGCTGAGAACCGGAAAATCGTCCCACTTCGCTGGCAGTTTTTTAGCAGTGTATTTGTTCTTCTCATCAGGCCGAACTCGGTACAGTTGAGATTTCTTTTCGAGTGCAGATAAAAGCGAAGAGTCCTACTGTGAGCATATCAAGCTCTTGGAAGAACGTGTGTTACTGTTTTTCAAAGAACCAACATCTAAACAATCACTTTCAGAACGACACTTTCTCTCAGGGCAATTCTCAACTGCAGGTGGCCGCGCAAAATAACCTGGCTGATTGTTCCAGCTGGAATAACAATATTGAAGCGTAAGAAAAGCTAAGCGTCGCTGTCGCACTAACTAGCTCATCAGAAGCTTTCGGTTCTAAGATACTTTCGCAAGTAGTTGGTTCATCAATTTTACTTGGCTACCCGTGGTCAAGATGCTACAGGAGCTCAGAACCTACTGTCATCTATGTTCAAGTACTTATACGTCATTGGTTCATGACCGTGTAGCACCTGCGGGT